AATCAAGATTTAAAAAAATTACTAAAAAAAGATATATTTTTGAAACAATTTAACTGCTGCAAAATGGAAAATATATAAATAAAATAAACCTTATTATTATTATACTATAGTCCGGAATCAAAAAAGGTACAATTTTCCACTTAGGTAATAAATTTAGCAGACAATTTTAAAGGTAATTGGATCTTGACATTGAGATCAGCAGAAGTTAAAAGTGTTAGATTTGCAAATTTTAAGAGAATAAATAAATAGACTAATACTTCTCAACTATCAATAGCAGTTTGCAATTTAAGTATGAAATACACCTATACCTTATAGGGTAGATATTTTAACAACTAATTAATTACCTAATTCACTAATAACGAACGCTATGTATTTTGCCCCGTTTCTTTTCAGAATCAATGCTAATAGCTAATCGAATATTAAATTGAGAAGAAAAAGTATTTTGTTGTCTTTCATTGTCCCCATCTGATGCAAATTGGTGGACAGGGCGGGAGCCCCTCTTCAGTCACCGTTAGAAATTGTGGGAACGGATGAGGGTGGTGGTTAGGCAGAAATAGACTTGCTGGACGAGACGAAGGGAGTAGAAAAGGGAATGGTTCAAGTATACCACAAAAATCTTGGACTCCCTCCTCAACCCCGTTGCTGAATCATGATTTGAACACTACGCTGCCGGTCGAATATTAACATCAGCACCCTTTCTACTACACAGTCCATCATTTGATATGATACCTTATCAAATTTACTACCTTCCAAAGGTAAATGTATTTATTTTTGTAATGTAGGTAAATCCATATGTGGTCATTAAGGTATTATTATGTGTCTATTATAGAAAATAAATAAAACATTAGAATATTGAAAAACATTAGCTGGTAAATTGTATAATAATGAACAAAATAAACTGGTATAGTGTTTTTACGGTCAATTAGTTAATCATTAGTACATACTAATTTATAATGAGTATTTCTGAAAAAAATTAAAAGATTAAAATTGAAACGAATGTAGGTGCCTGCGTGCAGATGCATAGACAAACACAAATAGTATTATTAGTTAAGTAAATGTCAAACTATTGTTTTGAGTTTTCTAATTAACTTAAAACAATTAGATTAAGCATACGTTTCTAATCAAACTTTTTTTGTTTCCCAAATTATTTCCCACTTTTCATTTTTCAATAGTTTGCTCGTTACAACAAAAGTACTTTGGTCTGATATCGCTGATCATTTATTTTATTTATTGTTTATTTGCTTTTTTTACTATTGTTATCTGTAGACAGCCCACCGTATTGCAATTGTTTTCTAAAGTATTTTCATTTTCCATTCTTTCTTAAAATAATATTCGATAATTGACATTGAAAATCAAAATACAGTGTAAACTCTTTATAGCGTCACTCGATTTAACGACAAACTCCTTAAAACGTCGAAATTGCTTGACATTGGTTGGTTTACATTGTTTTCTGTACAATATTACACTCTATATAGCGTCACGCTCACTCTATTTAACGACGGCAATGTGGCATTATAAATCATTAAGCAGTACTTTCTAAGTTGCCGAAATAGATAAGAACTGCTGCTGTGTACGTTGTTGAAGAAGACGATCCTGTCCCTCCACCAAGCATCAAACAAGCACTTGATGCAGCGAAACTATTAAAAAAATACTTTTTATATAATCAAATTGATCCAGCAGTATCTCAAGATATGAGTAAGATACGTAACAAAATACAATTAAAATATTAGAGCAGCAAAAAACATCAGACGAAGATAACAGGCAAAATGTGTACTATATTGGTAAATGCATATTATTATAGAATAGTAAAATAATATCTTTTATTTCTCTTCATTTAACGACCACTCTTTATAACGCCGAAAAATGTTCAGTCCCTTAAGTGTCGTTATATAGAGTTTACACTGTATTTAATTACTAAACTGTCAGTATGACCATGCACTGTATTTACAACAATTAACTTGTATTATTTGTTTATTTGTTTTAAAGTCTGCTAAGAATTTCACAGCTATTGAGCAATTTTCGTAAAAACATGAAGGATTTTCGTTGCTTTTACAAAGAACAGTAAGTAATTTGAAAACTAGAGAAGATGGATATAGGGAAATAATACCGTTCGAAAGACCATAAAATTCTATATACAACTATGAAAACACATACAGGGTGTTCTATTTGAAAAAACTTGACTTACGTTAGCGTTTGAAGTTAACCAAATCCGCAATTAAATGTCTAATACTCTGCATGTAATTAACCCACTTCAAAAGTATGGACGGGAAGCTTGAAGGTATAGCTAATACCTTTCCTGAGAATATTGTTGCTGCAGCTTTCTTACTGTATAATAAGCATGCTTTTTTACTATCTACTGCACTGTGCTACTTTAAAAAAGAAATTAAGATTTCGAAAACGGTAAGTTTTATGCTAGCCTTATGAAAATCTACCTAAAATCATAAGTAGAATTTAAAACCATTATTATATATACGGTGTTCCATTTAAAATAACGAAGTTCATGTCAACTTCCGGCATAATCGGAAGTGTTACGTAAGTGCCGTTGTTTTAATTGAGGAGAGCACATCCAATAACGGTTTTGGCCAAATGTTCAAAACTCAAATCCAAGTAGTTTCCAAAATATTCTAATGGATGGTCACCGTGAAAACCCTGTATATTAATATCAGTATATGAAAGGCTAAGTTTTTTTTTTATTTTCAATAAATTAAAGTCACATTGTTTAAAAAACAACAGTATGTATGACCTTGAAATGTAAATGTTTGCCTTTCAAATAAAATTTGAAGATCATCATTTAGTTTTTTACCTACATATTAATAAAAAGTGGAAATAAGTGGTACAACCAAACCTTAAAAGGTTAAGGTAGATTTTTATTGGACAATTCGTGCAGAAATTCTAATGGTTGATTTCATACAAGTACCAATGTACATTGCATATATGTTAATTTTCTAATAAACTAAATTTTAATTGGACTCTCCCTCTTTGTAGCGGCCACATTTTCATGCTATTGAGAGGTTTTCTGTAGTTGTATTTGTTGATATTATATACTTTACAACAGTCACACAACAATTGTTACAGTTGGCCTTAGACAATTGTCTACGTTCAGTGTACAATTATAAATTTGCATTACATGTAATTATAAATCTATTTTGAGGCATACGACGATTTAAACAGTTAAGTTTTTGTTTTATTTAACTTGTTTATTGTTTATTATATACATGAATAGAAAACATATATCTATAGGTCCTTCGATTTTAATGTATTCCCTTAAGTAATCCGCCGTGGGCCCCAATAATTCCATGTCCAAGGCCTCCAATGTGTCCGACAGGACTAATAGGTCCAATAGCTCCAATAGGTCCAATAGCTCCAATAGGTCCAATTGGTCCAATAGCTCCAAGAGGTCCAACAGCTCCAAGAGGTCCAATAGCTCCAAGAGGTCCAATAGGTCCTAGAGGTCCAATAGGACCAACTGGTCCTACAGCTCCGATTGGTCCTACAGCGCCGATTGCTGCAACTGGAGCAATGGGTGCAACTGGTGCGACAGGTCCTGCAACTACGGCGGGTGCTGGTCCTCTAACTAAAACTCCAGCTGGTCCGGTTTCTACAGCACCTGAAGGTCCTTCAATGGATACACCTTCTCTGATTGCTGGGACGGGAACGATTGGGGCAAGTTGAGGACCCCGGATGATCGGTGCTGGAGCAATAAGTGGTCCTGCAACTGGTCCCAACAAATGGGATGCATGGGCAGCAGTGAAAAGAAACGCGACTGCAAACTGAAAGGATAGTACGTAAAATAAAGTCTTTTCAGTGTCTATTATTTGAAAAAAAGTTAGTTATTCTGTAATTTGTATATTTTTGATCTGAGGTTAAATTTAAAAGCAAATTAACATACCAAAGCACGCATTTTTGTAGTTGTTTGTTGTTGTGTAAGAATCGAACGAGCCGGAATTTGTTCTGACAACGACAAAGCAACCCTTGTCTGTTTTATACCGTTCCGATTCGAATTGGTAACCTTCACCTGATATTTTTCAGAATAATTAAACGCAAATACATACAATTAATTATGTAGAATTGACCGTTTTATCTAAGAAAGTGGTTATGAGTAATTTGTCCTACGCTTGCCTACGTACCGTTAGGAAAATGGTTAAAATCCTGAGCGACAAAATGATTACATAATTTCAATAGTTACAAGAGATTCCCTTTCTTTAGAGACAATTAAAAAAACTACGACATTTATGCGTATTAATAAACAATATACGCATATGTATGTAGCCACAATAAAAAGAAACCAGAACTAATTATCTAGGAATATAATTCACAGAAAAATATTTTCAAAAATGTAGAAAGAAAACGAAGTTAATTTCGCCAATTACAGACCAAATTTTATTTGTGATACTCTCTATTTTTATAACATTACAATGACGACGTTTCGATCATCGTTTTTGATCATCTTCAGGTCTACAAATAAACAATACGAATTTACAATTCTGATTCATTACAATAAGATAACAATAATTTAAAATCATCTAAACTCACCATCAGTAAAAAATGGAAACGTAGTTACATAGTTAATGGTTTTCACATAAATAACATAAATAATGTTTTTCACATAAATAAATATAGTCAACAATCCAAACAAACTAAACAAACACTGTGACAAAACGAAGACAAGTTAGTCAGTTGAAACGTCGATTGAGACTGATTTTTGTTCATACAAAGGAAAGAAAATTATCATTAAAATTAAATTTTCAAAAATGTATTTGAATAAAATCATTCATTGAAACGAAATACAAGTAAAGTTTATCTACAGAACTAGATAGCGTTTTCTAGAGGTAAACTGAAAAGAATCAGACAAACGAAATCAGTAAGTGGAATTGAAGCCCGTCTCCGGTAATCATCATCATAAGGTCGTCAGTCCTAAGACTGGTTGGACTCCATCTCCACCCTTTCCTATAATGAGCTAATCTTCGCATTTTCCCAAAACTAGAACAACCCACATCCTTAGGTATTTACGAACAGTAATCTAATCTAGGTCTACCTCTAGTCCTCTTAACTCCTGTTTTTGCCTCTAATATGTCTTTGACTAGACTTTTATACCTGAGAAGGTGTTCTACCAACCTATCTCGCCTATTTTTTATTAACTCTCATAGAGTCCTCTGCTCTCCTATTCTTAAAAATACCCCTTATTTTGTAACCTTCCCTATCAACGCTATCCTCATCATTCGTTTAAAAAAGAATATTGTAAAAGCCTATAAATATATATTCGAGTTGTGTACAGATTTTATTAACTGTCTATCCATAGAAAAAATATTATAATATTGTTCAAGTGTCGATGGAAAAGTATTAACAAGAATATGGTCTTCAAGATATTTAATAACAATCAGTCAAGTCGTTTTTTTTTGTTTAATCGGATAGATTAAAACGATTTATTTACTTGAAAACGTTCTTGGTTAGAAATTTGTCGAAACTACCAGACACGGATCGCGATTTTCATCTTATTAGATCTCATCAGTCTCGATATTGACCAAACCGAAGAAACTCCTAAAGAACTGTTTGTATAATATCCAAAGAGAGGTAGTGATCACTATCTCTTTAGGAGCTTCTTCGATCAAAATCGCAATCCACGTCTGGTAGTTTAGATAAATTTCGGAACAAGAACTTTAATCCTCGTACAACTGGACCAAGAAGACGTGGCCCCTTAGATTGTAATGCCTACAGATGCGCATTGGACATTGACTATTCCGTGTTGAGATAAATCATTTAAGTTCAGTTTTTCTTCGAACTAAGAACTTGACCCATACCAACTGGCGCAGCTGCAATATTCATAATCAATATAGTAGATGGCTAAATAAACGGAATAAAAAGACATAAAGTTAGAGTAAATAGTGTAATGACCCAATGACCAAACATACATTTTGAAATTTCTCCCGAGCGTGACTGACATTCTTTTCTAGCCGAATGAGATTCTTGTTTATCATCTGCGCTGATAGTTCTGCTGTATATCAGCATTTTTTGTTCATATCCCCTATTTCTGAGGACTATGGATTTTATAAAAAAATTAATTTGTAAACTATTTATTTTATAAAAACGTTTTAATTTGATAAATTCATTGCGTTATACGATAAAAAGGAGGTTCCGGAAGGCTCAATGAAATGATACTTATCAAATATTTAAAAGTTTAGTTATTTTCCCTTCTTTGAATAAATAAAACAATTTGTTCACTTAATACTTTTATTTCTTGAATAATGCTTGGGCAAACGGTTTGATTTGCATTTAAATGGGCAATTGTACATTGAATCTATTTATAAACAGATTTAATATCTAATAACAATAATCTGTTCAGAACTCCATACGCCCTTATGACTTAAACAGTGGTGCAACAGAATACTATTTTATCTCTATACCTACACGAATTCCATTACATGCGTACCTAGAGCTCATAAAATCAGTGGCGTAACGACACATATATAGAAAGTTTCCTTTTCATTGACATTGTTTTATTCTTTTCTTGTTGGTTCTACGTAGTACTTAAAATTTTCAAAACTTTATAAACGAGGATTCACAATATTCATATTATTTTTTTATTATAATGAAATTCATTTTTTGATCGACTGTTTACAACCATTATTATTATCATAAAAATAATACTTATTATAATCGTGCTTTGCGAGTAATAAAACTTTTATAAAAAATTCGGCCTCCCCTTAAATACATTTTATTAGCATTTACATGTTACAACCACATACTAATTTATTTTAATAAAAGATAAGATTCTGCTTCTTTAAATCATTTTGGTGATAATTTCGAAGGGTTACATTTAGCAAATAAAAGTTTAGAAATTAAAAATTGTAATAAATTAGAAATTCAGCTAAACAACCAAATTGAGCCAAAAATAATTCAGTGTATCAAAAATAAATTTGTAACTCAAGTATTTTATTCTATTACATTAAATTAGTTATTAGTTGGGTAAAAATGATAGCAATGCTATAGTAATAATGTTTTGTTGAAGGCATTTTTTATTTTATAAAGTTTAGAAAACATACATGCTAATTATAAAGAAATCAGCAGTGTATATTCTGATTTAAAAATGCTCGACATACTTTTAAACCAACTAATTTTATCAACTATATATATATGCATTTCCAATGGACTATAAAAAGACTAAGACAATTTGGGGTTCCCAAAATCAATCATCATCATCATAAGATTGTCACTCCTAAGTCACGCATCTCCACACCTTCCAATCCTGACCTAATTTTCGCATTTCCCTAAAACTAGAACATGTGAACAGTAGTCTAATCTAGATCTATCACTACTTCTCTTAACTCCTGTTTCTGCCTTTTAATATCTCTCTGACTAGACCTTCATACCCGAGAAGGTGTCCTACCAACTTATCTCGCTTACTTTTTATTGACTTCCGTAGAGTCTTCTGTTCTTCTATTCTTTTTAGTACCTTTTCGTTCCCAAAATCAATACACATAATTTATTAAGGGTATTCAAATAATGCCCTCATTCAAAATTATGATTAGGTACAATAACGTAATGGTATTTGTCATATGAAATAGCTTTTCCTGTTCATGATTGTTAAATTTAATTACTTATTTAACCAGTAGTTGATTATGCTGCTGCAAAATAATATTTTCCAGGTGCATTTAAAATACTTAGATTTACGGTGTTTTTGAAACATTAAAAAGACATTATTTAGTTTAAGTGTTTATTGGTGCTGAAAGGTGAAATAAAATTGAAAAGAAGTAGAGACAAAGGTAACAACTGGAGGGAACAGTGACAAAAACATTCATGTACAGATAGAAAATGGTAAAGAAAGAAAGAAGAAATAGAACACAGCAGAGAAGAGATTTGCTCCTGCGCTTTTTGGCATGGTGGCGGCGATGGTAGTCATTTAACTTTACCAAAGATGACCGTGTCCAATACCAATGACTCCTGGAGCAACAGCACCGGATACAACACCACCTGGAAGTGGGGCAGCAGCAAGAGCACCTGCGTCAGCTACGGCAGCGATGTGGCTTCCGTCAGGTCCAATAAGAGCCCCTTGAGCAGCAGGTCCCTTGATTAAAACACCAGGGGCACCAGGTCCAACCAAAGTTCCTCCTAATACTCCTCCCCACAAGGAGGCACTGGCCATTGAGATGGCGACGAAGAAGAAGAAGAAGGCAACCTGTAAAGTGATAAATAAAAGTATTTTATTTTTATGTTTTCACAATATTAAGATAGTTAAGTTTTCACAATATTAAGATAAAATTTTAGGAACTACAGTTTGGAGACTACATTGCTAGGGGTTGGTTTTTAGTGGCTTGTTTACTTACGAAAGCTTTCATGGTGGTATCTGCTGCTAGTTTTCTAACTGATTGGTGCCAATAATGGTTACACAGCTTTTATATGTCGGTACAACCTTCATTTTTATGAATAAAGATAATTGTATGAAAAAATCGCGCCCCAGTCACTGACATATATGCCGTAGGATACCGACAACAACAGGCTGGGAGTGTCTTGAGAATTTTATTAGGAAAAACTTGCACTTCGGAAATAATTACTGGTAAGGCCTTTGTTTGCATTCGATGCATTTGTATCTGCATACGTGCAATAAAGCTCTCACTTTTTCATATATGATTATGATTATCTATAGGAATCTAGTAAACAACAACAAACAGTAATTCGATAACGTACTAAGTATAGGACAGTAAAAAAAAAGATGATTAGTAAAAGAGTTCTTATCATAAAAAGGTCATACTAAAACATTTCTAAATAAAAACAAAATGCCTAAGGAGACGGTATCAGGAACCGACGTTGTCGAATTAATTATTTCACTTTTTTAATTGATAACTGATGAAATGTGTTGTTTTGTTTCATCATACCTTCCGAATAAACCATTAACTTTCATTTTTGGTTCATTTCGTCTTTCAAACATTTTAATAAGCTTAAATACATAACAAACTGATTAATTAAATAATAATTATTCGAGTTGTGTACAGATTTTATTAACTGTCTATCCATAGAAAAAATATTATAATATTGTTCAAGTGTCGATGGAAAAGTATTAACAAGAATATGGTCTTCAAGATATTTAATAACAATCAGTCAAGTCGTTTTTTTTTGTTTAATCGGATAGATTAAAACGATTTATTTACTTGAAAACGTTCTTGGTTAGAAATTTGTCGAAACTACCAGACACGGATCGCGATTTTCATCTTATTAGATCTCATCAGTCTCGATATTGACCAAACCGAAGAAACTCCTAAAGAACTGTTTGTATAATATCCAAAGAGAGNTTTGTCTATTTGCGTACTTCTAGAACAAGGGTCGATAACTAGCGGCATGCGGTCCAGATCCAGACCGCGGAAGAGCAAAAACTGGACTGCCAAAAGAAAAACAAAAATTTTTTGAAAGTAAATAACTCAAACTATTTAAAAAATATTTTTCTGTTGATAACAAAGTATTCTTAAGCTTTGAACGTCACCATTATCATGTTTTCGAGGAAGGAATAAGTTTTCTCTGGACCTCGATCAAAATTTTCAAAATCATCCAGAACTACACCTAAAATTAATTGCCAACCCCTGGTTTAGATGTTACTAAATTCGTTTTACAATTAGTAAAACATATTGTGTGCATTTTTATTTTTCTGTTAGGTACGTGTTTACGTGACCTTTGTAATAAGATGTAAGACACTTACATAAAATACTCACTACATTAATTAACTATTATATCTATTAACCTTGTAATCTAACTAAAAGAGTCATTTAGATGTAACTGATAAACATTTTAATCCTTATTTGGTAAAAAAATCGCATAAGTCAAGTTTACAAAATTTATGAATACTTTTCATATAAAAACATCCTTTTATTTATTTATTTTCTTACTAAGCCATTAAAATTATTTATATGTATACTATACTATATCACTTTTTTTCGTTCGAAATCGTTATTATGTTGAAAACACTAAAAGAAGTTTAGAAATTTATTTATTAATTGCCAATTATTATAACATTTAATTACAAAAGAGGCAGTTACAATTTTGTTTATTTGTTCTACTGTAATATGAATCGCCCTCTATCTTTGATAGCTTCAAAGCATTACGTTAAATAACAGTACAATGTCTAGAATGTAATTGTATTATGTACCTGTATCTATATACCTGTACACTGCGATTAAATAAGTTACTTCTATTTGCAGTGTGAATAATAGAGGTCAATATTTATGATTAAATTAAATCAGCTGTGCAAATGCTATGTGCATTTTTTTTTATATTATCGTTTAGAAATTCTTCAAGTGCTTTTCAATTGTTAATGTCACTAATAGATTATTTTAAAATTTTATAGTTTGTTCATTAAAATCAAAACGATATTAGCAGGACATCGTTACAAAATTATCTTCGCTATTATTACAGAGGCATACATACATATATATTAAGAAAATAACCGTGAAAATAATTTTCGTAATCAATAAGGAGCGTTATATAAAATCGTTAATAAATAAAAAGTTCCTCAAACTTACAGAATCATCATGTTAGAGTTGCCATAATTTTTTGTATAATTCAATGATCAAATAATGGTATTAACTATAATACTTATGGGATAGGTATTATCCTGTGACTTATTAGAGATAATTGTATCGATTTATAATCATAAAATGATTGAAACATATTTTCAGGATATTTAAATTTGTTTATTCTGGGTTTTGTACAGTTTACAATTTAGGATTTGCAATTATCTTAATAAAATTTGCAGGTATTAGTTCTGGAAAATTAATGTATAATTATTTTTTACAAAGTTCTCTTTATTTAAATGTATCTACACCAGTATGTGCACCATAGTTCTATACAGGGTGGTCATTCATACAGTGAAAACCATTGGATAGACACAAAATGATGTTTTATTGGGGGTACTGAGGTTCTAAATTCAATGTGTGATGAGATATCAATGAAATCATATTCTTTTGCTCTATTCACTGGCATAAAAATCCAACCTGGCGTCCATAAGAAAATCAAAAGTGAACATTGGAAAATAAGATTTTGAATACGCCTTCAAATTTTATGATAATTTAATTAGAATGCCTATTGTCAATAATGTAAATGTAGTAAAATAATTCGAAGTGGTCTGCATTCTGTCGAAACTGCCAGACGCAGATCGCGATTTCGATCTTTTTGGATCTCATCAGCGCGTCGCAGGCAGCTCTGACAGAACACNGGAAAATAAGATTTTTAGCAGTCCCGGAAAATTTCTGATAAATTAAGAAAATCCATTATCAATAATGTAAATGTAGTAAGGTTCATAATTTTCTTGAAATAAATAAAAAAGTTATAAAAGAAGAGAACAAAGTTAGCAATGAAGAGGAGGAGAACAAAGGACTCTATGGAAGAAATAGGAGAGATAGGTTGGTAGGACACCTTCTCAGAGACATATTAGAGGCAGACACAGTAGGATTTAAGAGGAGTAGAGGTAGATCTAGATTAGATTATTGTTCGCAAATAGTTAAGGATTAACTCAGGATAGGAACCAGTTTTAGGACTGACGATTTATGATGATGAAAAGAAGGAAAAATTGTCAGTTTTTTTACGATAATTGGGGAACGGTTGAGGTTAGGTTAATTTTTTTACAGATTTTTAAAGGGCATAAAAAACACAACACAAATTTTCTCTAATTTAACCCACGCTATATCTCTTACCGTTTCGAATATCCCAATGGTAGTGAGTGAGTGACCACCCGGTATATTTCAGGCGTTAATTTACAATTGTGGTCATCAAAATCGTTAAGCTCTATTTATTTTGTGATAATCCAATACATTTTATCTGAATATTTCCTATAAGAAATATTTTACGTCCATTACAGCTCATGATTTATAGAGAATTTGATATTCTAAACTCCACCTTAAAATAAAAGATGCAAAGAATTCCGTTTGCGACAAGGTGGTTACGGTTTATGATTTTGTGTGGTGTGTTACTAGAACGTGATTTGTATTCGCATAAAAGTTTGCAGAAACAGTTAACGCTGTTATCAGTTATAATGGCAAATATGCGTTTCTTCGTATGAGTGTGTAAACTCTACTGTATTATTAATTCGAATAATCTGGAGTAAGTTAATGCATTTTTTATTAGCACTATGCTTATCTAAGCTAAAGCTGAAAGTTGTTGTGCTGTAGTCAGTAAGTCGTATTACCTTGATGTGCAACTTTACTGTCTCCATCAGAAATGTAAAACTAACTTCTATTCAATTTTCATGTTGCCTTATGAATGAAAAATTAATCACCTACGCATTTCTTGTCTTGAGAAATGGAATTTAACATTCAGTATTCATTTTTAGTAAATAAATTCATTTTTCAACAGCAAAACTGAATTTAATAGCCTAAATATATATGTTCATATTTATCATAATCAATTTAACAAATGAATTAGTATTTTGTCGACTTTAGAAACATGCACAAAATTAAATATTATTAGACTAATTTAAATCATTGTTTGAATATTTCTAATGATGAATTTCTCCTACAAAATTGCGTCATATCTACCAACTAATCCACCTGTTTGACCACGCTCTCATAGTTGGACAGAGCCTTAGTGCTTTGTACTTGCAAGTTGAAAGTGCCCTTCAAGACCTTTTAGGGCTTGGAAGTACTGTAATTCTAAACCGTTCATGAACAGGTAGTTGGGGCTGACTGAACGAATTACTTTGCAAAAGTGTTTTGTAACTCAAAATGCTTGAAGCACATTCAGGCTGCTCAGGGATTTGAATCTAATTGATTTTGAAATTATTGATAATTAGAAGTACCTGGATCTTAAAATGTAATTCGAGTTTCCAAAGGCTGAAGGACACTAAGTAAGAGTTTTGGGCGTAGGGTTTGAAGCTCTTTAAGTAAGAGCTTTGGAAAGCTCTGTCGGAAACTTCTTACTATTTCCTGAATTTTCAGTTTTTTCAAGCATAAAGTCACAAAGTGCCGCATTACTAATAATAGAACATATTATTTCTTAGCAGAGGTAGATAAAGCCTTTATCAAAAGAGCTCCAAATTCAAAGCCCTTACTTACTTTAGCTGTTGAAACCTTTAAAGCATTTCAATATCCAAGGATTTCGAATCACTAGTTACTGCGAAAGATTCAAATCCCTAAGAACTTTGAATGTGCTTCAAGCACGTTTACTGCGCCTTGTATACTTGTTCATGAAATGGCTTGAATTACAATGCTTTCAAGCCCTGAAAGAACTGGAAAACTGGAAGCACATTTTTAAGCACGAACCACTAAAGTTCTGCCCAGCTCTGTTTTTTAGTAACTGTTCTTTTAACTAAGGAAAAATTGAATCGATGCCTACTGCACTTTATAACTGAAAAAAAAATCTGAAAGCTCATAAACTACTAACTAATCTTAAAAAAAAAGAAATGGTGGGCAGTGGTAAATTAGGCCAGTCACTACAATAGGTGGAAGAACTCATTAAGTCATAATGTAAATTCGGCCACTCCGTTGAAATCTACCAAAGATTGAGTATGTAAATTCCGCTGAAAATATTGGTTTTATAAATGTTTATTGAGGAGAATACTTACCTTCTTCATATTACTTTAAGTATTAGGTATTCAAATAAAATGAATATTAAACCACAATAAAATAAAGTGTTATCAAAGTAAATAGGTTTTTTTAGTAATAAAATTATCATATGTTTATATTAGCATGTAATCATTTTTAATAAAATGAACTAATCGTGCTTATACATTTTAAAAAGTAATATGATGTTAGTTTCAGATAATGTAAAATATTAATTTTTACCGCTTCAACAGTAAATTAACTAATTTAGATATCACCTAGTCATACTACAAGGGGTTGTTATCTATTATATACTCATATTATAAGAGAACATGTAACAGCATTCTAAACATCCATGTTTGGCAGAAGCTTTTATTTTCTGCGTCTACCTAAGTACAAACCGGCCGAATTACAATTGACTCTTGAGGGCTACGGCCGAATTTGCCATTTGTAATGAAACCCATTAGGTCGGCCGAATTACAATCGCCGAAAATGCTTCTATCCTTAATTTTCGTGAGATTTTTTCAGTACTTTATTGTATATGAAGTAACGTATCTAGTACGAAGTATCTTGAATAAAAAGTAAACTTCAGTTTTACAATAATCTCTTTACAAACTCAAGGTAGCACAAATGCAACCCTTATTAATCCCGGGTTTTTTTGTCCACATTAACCATCATCTACAGCAAGTAGGTAATTACGGACATAAATAGGTGTAATAAATTTTATAGCTTTAGAATAAGGTAAGCATTATATACATGTAGTTTGTCTTACATACGTAATTTTAGAAATTGTGGAGCCGCTAATTTCTTCTAATTCTTAAAATGAAGTTTGATATAGGAATTCACAGTACGGATACTGTTTTTACCCGAATGTTTTAGTAGGATTAGGGAGGGATTATTACAAAAATTAGTAATCAGTAATTTGTGAATCCAGTTAAAGTCCATTTTACGTACATGAGTAACAGCAATCTACCAAAAGGACGTGTAGAACTGCCTGATGTACAATTTATTTAACTTCTTATTGTTAATACGATAAAGTAGAATAAGTAAAATGTCAGTTTTCTATATAAACGACTTGATGTGGGCTTAAAAAAAATATCGCGATTTCTGAATAATAATTAACCAGTTTGTGACTTGGTACCGGAGTTGCACTTAGAAATATTCCATAAAAGTGCGTCTACATTGTTGACCAATAAATAAAAAAAAATAACGGCAGCTTTATGCAATCGTGACAGAATACGAATAAGCTTCTGTCGAAGGTTGATAGCACGCCTTACAACTATAAATAGGTGCAACTGCTTTAGTGCACGCATTGCAGTTAATTGTAGCAGAACAAACGCAATAAACAAAATGAACTCACTGGTAATTAGACTATTTTACCCTTTCTACTCTTCTACTTAACATCCTTACGATGTCTTTATTAATATTTACTTTCCTAACAATATTTGTAATAACACCAATTGTTTTTCTATAAACTTTATTTTCTGACTATTTTTAACCAGTTCATTTTAATAAAATTTTAATTTTACAATTATTTTGTGCCTGTTAATGTTTTTCTACTAATTATGATAAGTGCTTTCAGCCAAAACAATCAAGTGCTAAATTTTGATTATTTCATTTAAGGCTGTGGTTTTCTTTTGCGTGGCGATCACCTCGGCTTCCTGTTCTGCCATCTGGGGAGGTGCCGCAACTCTGGTTGGACCAGCAGCTGGTGGTGCGACCCTTAAAGGACCCGCTGCCCAAGCTACTCTGGTCGGCCCCGATGGAAGTGCAATTTCCGCAGGTGCTGACGCCGGCGCCCTACTTGCCGCCCCAAGAGCTGGTGGAGCTATTACTGCCGCAGTTGCTCCAGGTTCGTGCATATAAATAATTGTTCTTATTTTATTAAATCATGCAATTAGATGTTGTGAAATTGATTAAACTTTTCCAATAATGGACCAAGCTAGTCGGAAGCTTCGGAGATGAGACCTCGGTTATAACGACAATTCTGAAGTAACGTCAATTTCTAATAATTCTGCAATTCAAAATAACGATAAATGTCTCGGATATAATCACAACAAGCTCGAGTATAATGTCATATTTATATTGCTACAAATATCGTCGTACTCTATAACCAAATGCTTCCGTATAAAGTTGATTTTGTAAAAAATTAAAATGAGCCTATTGTGACCTTCTTGGGACTTCCACTGAAAGAACATCCCGAAATCTCCAGAGGTCCAGGACGAGTCACCCCCTCCCCCCTTAGCCCACCACTGCATTATTCATCTTTGTAAATAAATTTTTTCCAGTCACAGAAATTTTGCATCTAGTAGTCCAGTATGAAAATCATCATCGCTTTATCTATCAGAATTTGACCTTAATATATATGTCTTTCTAGGAGTAGTTGCTGCTCCAGGCTTGTTGGCACCTCCACTACTACCTCCTGTAGCTATTGCCCCCGCTCCACTTCTTCCACCAGTTCTTCCTCCAATTGCCCCAGTTCTTCCAAAAACTGGCACCCTCATCGACGGTCCTTCCGGTACCATTAGGACATCTGGTTCAGCCAATGGCTTGATCGCCGCTCCTGTAGGCCCAGTTGTTGGTCCTGTAGGTCCCCTAGTTGCTCCAGCACCAGCTATCATTGCAGGTCCGGGACCAGCTATACTTGGACACTCGCCCCTTCTAGGACCCGGTCTCCTTGCTGGAAAAATAAAAGCCTGGTAAAAAGACTGCTGTGCAATGGACGTATAATATGCAAACCAAATTTTATCTAGCGACTGTGTATAGTATTTTTTTAACAAATAAATTATGAGAAAAACTACTTATATGGTTTATTTCTAAAATAACACAATCATAATTTTGCTGAATTTAAAATCCTTTAGAGAAGACTGCAAAAATAAGTATAGGTACGTACTTATTTTTGAAAGTCGTCCCTATAATAACTGCAGATGTTTATAAAAAGTGTTAATTTTGTAAATTCTTTCGTTCGTTATCGTTTTCATTATACTCAAGTTTTGCATAAAATAATTTTATTTTATTGACTGTCTTTGTACGTACATCACAAATTATTAAATATCTTGTAGGTATCTTGTGATAAAAATCAAATTAACATTCGGTAATTATTCTACTTTCAGTGCACTAGCAATTTATTGTCTTAATCAAAACCTTTTACTTAGAGTATATTACGCCCATCTAAAGTATAAAATGACAACCCACAACTTGTTGTTCACAACAGTAATTACAAACTAAACTTTTCACCATTTATTGTACAATTTTCCTATAAAACAATACATAACCTGTTTTGTTTAATTAATTAAGTTCTCACTGGGAATTGAATAAATATTGTGAAATGATTTTTTTCCGCAACAAGTGTTCCGTTAAGTAAATTATATTGTTAAAAACAAAATTATGTTTCATTCCCACCAGCTATTACCACTGATGGGCGGGCAGTTTCTCCAAACTACGTCGGAAGGTAGGGCGGAAGGCCCTCTTCATCTTTCTTTTAGGAATCGTGGGAATGGGTGGATGGATGGTGGTTGGGGTGGGAAATATGAGACGGACGAAATGAAGACAGAAGAGAATGAGAGATAGTTTGTGGAATATTACTGCCCCAGCATTTGCCTTAAGTGATCCAAGGAAACCACAGAAAAACTTGGACCAAGGCAGACGAATCTGGAATCGAACCGGTGCTCTCCCGAATGCTAAGCAATTGTCTCTAAGCCATGCCACTCGGTATTGTTATTAATAACACGAAATACTTTAACGTTTATATCTATTAGCATCGTGGTTAAGTTTAGTGTAACTTTAATAATAATTAAATGAACAATATGCATTTTAACTACTTATACTTACCCATACGTCACTGAATGTTCCGATACTGTTAAGGATGTTTGGGAGGTATGTCAAAATGCTACGAGACAAATAAAAATTTNATGTTAACGAAATATTATTATTGAACGCACTATATTAATATCAGTGCAGTGCAATACCTATAACAATAGAAATACGATCATCAATAACATTTAAAAACATGCAATTATCTACTTTAAAGCTTTACTTATGGAGTTAATTTACCATTTAGAGGAACGCAGAATTTGCTATTTCTTTTTGTTTAATAGTATCTTACATACATTCATTTGTTGATTCTTCTTATATTGGATAGACTTTATCATTAAAACGCTATATAATTTAATGAAAAAGAAAAAGTTAGAAGTGTTTAGGATATGGAACACCTTCTAAGACATGAAAGGTAATTTTATTAAAAGTAGGAATAGGAGTTGAGAGGAGTAGAGGTAGACCTAAATTAGATTACTCTTCACAAAAAGTTAGAAATATGGGATTTCCTAGTTTTAGGGAAATACGAAAATTGACTAAGGATGGGATATGATCATATGATGCAAAGAAGAATTAGAAATTATGATTAAATGCATTTTTGAACTTTAAATGCTAAACTTATTTGGTGAAAGCCTGGTACTCCTACAGATTTATTTACCTCATGATATGCGGCAAAACCTAATTAATCACGAATTTCTAATTTTATGTACTCTTGTCTCCGATTGTACCTTCCAAACGACCTTAAGCAGGAAATCGAAGATTAAGAAAAATACTGATTTAGACACATATGAATAGATTTATTTTACATCACTTTTATCAAATTCAGTTCCATGTATTTATCGCTTAATTGTATTATTATTAATCACTGTTCCACAAATGAGAATCAAAGTAGAAATCATCGTATAGAAACAACATTGCAAAATAACTAATTTACGTACGTTCTTTCCAATCAACGACTAACAACTGCAGTTCATTTTTACTTGAAAGAAGTCCAGGATCAACTAATGATATAAACAATAAGCAAGCAACTGGTTGACATTATCAACCATATTTTGAGAGCAGGAAGAATGTACAATATGGGCGAGACTTCAAGTTTTTGAAATAATTAACAAGATAAATGTATGTATGAGTTTTGAAGGTTAATGGACCGAGTTGGTAGTATAAATTTGGGCATTGCCAAATTGGTATCATTGCAGTTTCTTGTTGCAGATTGAACACACAGAACACGATGTGCCTTAAGGTAATTATCGTTTTTATTAATTTTCTTCAATAATTTGTTTTTCATTTGATATTATTCTAACAATTAATTTTCGAAATGCATTTGTAGATTTTAGTTTTTTTTTGTTTGGTAATTGCTGTTGCCTCGGCTTCAGTTTTACCTGTTCCTGCCCCATTAGCAGCTTTTCCAGTTGATGGAGGTGCATTACTTAAGGGCCCTACTTCTTCCTCAGTTTCTGTAGGACCTGATGGTAGCAGCATTTCCACTGTAGAAGATTCTGGGGCTGTTGGAATCGCTCATGGTTATGCTGTATCTGCGGCACTCCCACCAGCTCCTGCACCAGTAGTTTATGCTGCACCCGCTGTAGTTGCTCCACCACCTGCACCAGTAGCTTATGCTGCACCTGTTCCAACTGGAACTCTAATTAATGGACCCTCCGGACAAATAGCAACTGCAGGTTCTCCTGTTGGAGTTATTGCAGGCACTGCTCATGCTCCTTGGGCTCCAGCACCTGCTGTTGTGGAAGCCAGGATTGGATGGTGAATTACTTTCTTTTGATTATAAAGGATAATTTATATATGTATAATACATANAAATGTTGTTTCAAGTGTACTCATTGTTGGTGAAATTCACTATAGTGCAACATTTATTTGAAAGATGCAGGCGTCTGAAGTCGATAAAAACTGTAAGCGTTGGCAAAGGCAAATGATATAATTAAACTTTTGTGATATATTTGCATCGCCTTCACGTTGCCTGGATTGCTCATTGTTGTATAAAATAGACTTCCTTCCCAAGGTTATGCCAGATTTATGAAAGTAATGAGAACTATAGAATTTGTAGATAGTATTTATGCTACATCTAATAATAATCGGTTTATTCTACCAAACCCCTAGATAAAAGGGTAATACCGGGAGACGCTCCGCTCCTCAATATCTGCTTAAATTGGTTTTTCCAACTCGTGTTAGTAATTTGGAAATATGATAAAAATGGGCTTCCTTCATAATTTCGTGTAAAAACGCCTGTAGGTGAAACTGCTTGAGAAATTCGAAGAGCATTCGTATATTCATCAACTGCTGTTTTTATGCGATAATTCGTAATCGATTCTGGTACACAAAAATACCAAGATTTTTGTTCTAATAAAAAAAAGTACCTTGTAAAAGCGACATCTGTATGTATTTAAATATCTAGTATTAAACAACAAGAGGAAAGGAAGACTTAAACATTCTAGACGCAATATACATTACTAACTGAACCAGAGAATCCCTTATTTCAATAAGGCAGCAGGAAGATGTAATTCTAAATCTAACACAAAGTGCTAAAATTTTTGCTACTAAGATTAAAATTAATCCCGAAAAGATATCCAAAGATATCACCGAAAATGAAGACTTCCAGTAAAAATTTATTACAATGTAGCGGACGTTGATATATGTTTTATAGAAAAGAATTTTTAAACGCTCAAGTTGAAACTGCAAACTTTTTATAAAATCTCAAATCTCAAAATGGTTATAGATGGTTGAATCCAGTATCAAATTTTCTCACAAACCCTTTAGACAAAAGGAATATTACAAGTGAAACTACAGAAAAATTGATTTTGCTGTATCCACTTGATCACTTGCCTGAGTTATTTACGCATTTAAAGATATTATTTGAGATATACTCCTCTATGTAAGATATCATGAAGGTAGCTGCTAAATATAAAATAGATATTGGGGATGTTTTCCGTCTAATATTTACAGCGAGCTTTTCGTGTCTTCGAACGAAAAAAAAAATTTAGTTTACTTAAAATAGTTAAAAATTCGACCAGGTCCACTGTTACAGAAGTTAGACTTGATGTCCTAATGTTGCGAAAAAGACTTTTGCAGTGCTCTTCACCTAAAGAATATGGTTAATTTATGAACGAAATCAAAACACAGGCTTCTACTCCGTATACTTATTTTATGTATAACATTAGGTATCTAGAATTAATGATCTACTAATGATTTGCATCTGCGTTCGTTGACATTTGATGAATTCCAATTTACACCTTTCCCTTGATACTACCGTTCCAAATAAAAATAAATTTTCGTTGTGGGAATTCAAGGTTCTTTGAATAATGTACAAATCATTATAAACCACCCAGTATAATTTGACATTTACTTTGCACATGTGAAAAACTTTTCATCTAATTTTGATATGGCACAAATTGACATTCATTTTTGTTAACAGAAAAAAAGCTACCAGCAATTTAAAACTTTTATAATAAGTAACTTGAACTCTAAAGAATCACTTTAGCGTAAGGTTATTCAAATTGATTAAATTGTTATCGAGGAAAAAAATGAAAAATTAGCCAAAAATCTCGTTTTTACTTGATAATATAATGATAATATTTATAATTGTCTGAAATAAATGCAATTTTAAAGTTTTAATTATTATTTAAACATATTAAAAAGTTTTACGCTCATTATTAATAGAGATTGAAACTAAATATTTTTTT